TCATTGACAATCATCACAGCATCAAGAATTTGTCTACCCTCAACAAAGCATTCTGGTTTTCACCAATCACTCCCCCAACACCTTTGAAAGTCTTCTTGCAAGCACTTTAGAAATCACTTTGTACAAACTCCCCACAAGCTAATTGGTTTAAACTTTTTTATATCTTTCGCCCCCTCCAACTTAGGGATAAGAACTAAGAAAGTCAAGTGGATAGATTTGACAAAACACCCCGTTTTATGGAACTCGTTAAAAACATCAAACGCATCTTTCTTTATCACGTTCCAAAAAAGCTGATAGAATTTCATATTGAAACCATCCGGACCCAGTGGCTTCTCTCCATTGCACTCATCAAGGCAACCCATCCCAATTGTAATGAGGATGATTTATTAATGGAATGAATTTGAAAATTTTTCTTAAGTTCTTGTTTCGCTCTCTTTGCTAAATCATTTTCTTTTCCTTTTCTTTCTCTGTCCTCTGACTTTTCTCTTTTCTATCTTCCCTTCTTAATGTCTTCTTTTTCCACCTTAAACATGCTAAACCAGTGCTGGGCATTGCCTTATTTACTAGTAATTTTATAATTTTTAAGTGTGTCCTATGTTAGGAAGATATTCATGGATATTGTAATTCGAATCAAAATATAATGCTAGCTTTAAAAATAAAGAGAGTATGGTGGTTTTTGTAAAATTTCATTGGTTAAGTTGTACAACTAATTAATAAAATGTCTTAATCATTATATTATTTTTGGAAATAATAGTGTTACTATCTTTGAAAATCTTGCCTATTCAATAATCAGATCCTCCAAGATTTTCCCTTAAATTCTATCCTTATCTTACCAAGTTAAGGATAGAAAGTTAGGGTTTCTTGGTGTAATCCTTCTCATATATATTGCTGTATTGTTCTTCATCATAATACAATAGAATAATTCTGAGTAATAATCTTAGAAAATTTACACTATTAGAAGAAAATTGCCCCTGTAGTAAAAAATCTATGGATCTTTCCCTACTTGAATCAAAATTTGATTTAATTTACTTCAAAATTCATGAACTATAGACGAAATCAATTTGGATTTCTTGGTTGTTTACATTTTTCGAAGAAAAAAAAAGTTAGGTAAAATTGGTAATTGATGATTTGTAGGGTGAGATTGACAAGTAGTGGAGAGCTTCTTGAAGATAAGCTTGTAAACCAAGAAGTACAGAAAGGTTTGCTGCTGGAGTTCAAGAAGGATTCTGATAGGATAGTACTTGCAGTTGCTCAAAGGCCCGATGGGAAGAAGAATTGGATGGTCTTTGATCAGGTTTTTTGTAGACACAAATAATGCGGCATATTGAATAGGTTGCTAGGTGTTGAACTCATAGTTACTTTGCTCAAATAGGCTGGAATTTGTATTTTCAAATAGTGTAACTTCTTTTTTTCTTTATGGCAGAATGGTTCTACATGTTCCATTAAACCTCAACAGATTACATATATTGTCCCTGGAGTTGAAAATTTTGATCCCAGAGAGATTTCAAGCTTTCTCCAGAGAGCTCAGGAGAACTTGGTTGGTTTTCTAGCACAATGAAGGATGATAAACTTTCTAGTGTTTTCTTGTTATTTGTCCTATAGACAGAGTCAGCTTAGTGTTTTACTACAGGACCCAACACTGCTTGAGTTTGCATGGGTTGAGCTTCTTGAGAAGAATAAATCAATTACAACAGAAGAATTAGCAGAGGTACTATTTTTTCCATCCATTATAGACTTCTTTGCTTCCTCCTTTAATGGTCTTGTCTTGCTGTGCAGATAATTTTTGGTACTTCAGATCCTCTTGAGAGCTACTGTGCCCATCTTTTGCTATCAAAAGATGAATTATATTTCACTGTGTTGGAGACAAAAGGCTATCGTTCTATTTATGGGCCTCGACCTATTTCTCAAGTATAATCTTTTATATGTTAGTTTGATATTTTTTTTAATCTGTTCAGGTTAGCTTCATATTCCTTTAAAGTGCTTTGACATCTAGAGTATTTATCCTCCATATCTGATTGTAGTACCTTCGAAAAGCTATTATTATTATTATTTTCACTAGATCATTTATGTAAAGAATTTGTCAATAATTTTGTTCAACATGTGCTAGGAAAGAAAAACTTTCCTCTCTATGGCTATTTTGAAGCAAAGCTGCATGTTGAAGGAAGTTTGCTTAACCTGAAATAGAGGCTTCAAAAATAATTTATGTGACAAGATAACCAAAATACTAGCTGTGGGTTGGTCCAGGTTACCAAAAGAAAATTATTTTCAATGTATAAGTTGAACTCACTATCTCCAGCCTGACCTGCAAACAATGAGTTCAAAAGTTTTGGTGTGCTATCTGTCTTGGTCATGGAGCATTCTATAATATCTTATTGCTTGTTTTCCTTGTATCGTATAATTCTGACTTGAGAGTTCCAATTCAAATAAATTGGAAAAAAAGGTGGAGGAACTTCTACGTCGGAAGCTTGCGAAGGAGGCTGATGAAAAAGAACTTCAGGACTTTGTGCAACTACTGACATCTGCTAGGAAAATGTGTTCACATTCTAAACCTACAAAATCTTCGTGGATGAGTCAAGAGAAAGTCAAACAGAAAATTGAGTGTCTTGAAGCATATGCTATTGATGCATGCAAAAGCAATGACCAAAGAAAAACCGCGGGAATGGTAACTGATCTTACTTCGCTAAGTTTGTTTCAGTTGGTGCTGGAATTTATTAACTCATTACTATTTCGTTTTTCATTGTAAGATTGTGGGTATCTCACTTTTCCCTACCTACTACCATTCATATGATTCATGAATATTGACAGATTACTTAACCTTGTCTTGTCAGATCCTCAAGGCAATGGGCCTGGCAAAAACTGCTGTCTCTGCAGTAAATCTCCTCATAGATATCGGGTACTTTCCTGTGCATGTAAACCTGGATCTGTTAAAGCTGAACATTCCTACCTGTCATACAGATGAGATTATAGCAGCTGCTGAAAGTGTTCTTTTAGAATCATATGATCTAGATGAGGTAAGTTTGCTTCCTCTTGGCTACGATCTGTCAGAGAATGTAATATATTTTATTGAGTAAGACGCCACTATTTATGTATGACTTTAACTGTTGAAAATGAAAACCTAACAATTAGTTACACCCTTTTCAGGAGGCAAATTAAATTAGCCTATTGTAGGAATATACTCCTTTTATAAATAATGAAACAAGTATTCTACAAATAATAAAGATTTCCAACACTTCTCCTCAAATTGGTGAATAGACATTGTTCATTCCCAACTTGGTAATGATTGTATCAAACATTGGATTACTCAATTTCTTGGAAAGCACATTGGCAAGTTGAGTGTTATTGGACATGTAAGTGTAAAGGGCAAACTCCACTATGTAGTCTTTCTTTAATAAAGTGTCTGTCCACTTCAATGTGCTTGGTTAGATCATTTTGTCTCGGATCATGGGCAATAATGATTGCAGGTCTGTTATCATGATAAAGTCTCATAGGACCATCCCACTTAATCTTCAAGCATTCCAAGATAATCTTTAACGATAATAGCTAACAGACGCTTTGTACCATTCAACAATTCTGTCTCCTAAGATTCACCCCCTCCTTACTGCTGAGCAGCCCAGAAACCCAACCACTCGTTTGGTCTTGTCAGGGAATGAAGGGTTAACCTTCTTCTTCTTCTTCAGCATTGAACAATATGGGTTCCCTTGCAGACCCCTTTTGTTCCTCAAGGCTTAATTTGGTCATTCACATACCCAAGGAATATTCTCGTCCAGCTATCACCTTCAGAAGTTCTAGGAAAATCATTCTACTCCTTCATCCATCATTTTGTTTCATCAGTTCCAGGAGCTTCCCTCTTCCATCTCTTCCAAGAAACAGTTTCAGAGTTCCGCCCTCCTCCTAATTGATGCCCGCTCTATATGTTATGCTATCTTGTTCATGAAAACTCACTGAAAGCTATAAAGAGCCAACTTATTTTGAGGTTGAAGAAAGGAACAACTAAAAAATGATTGCAAAAGCCATTCTGAGTTATGCAAAGAATATCTTGTATGTCACCTTCAAGCTCAACCTCGAATGATTTACATTCAATGACCTGAAATTTCCTGGGTGAGACTATCGGCATGGTAGTCCTGTCAGCATGGTAGTTGCAAAAGAACAAAACCTTGTGGAGGAAAACCAGAAAAGTTATACTCTTGCTAACACTCTATCTGACTTTGTTCTCTCTGTTCAGTCTTGATTGGATTATTAGGTGACAATGCATAGGACTTCTAAAAATTGGTTCTCAAGTTCAGTTGTCCTATATGGTAACTAAATAAAACAATGAGAAGCATACAGGGAACTTTGGACTTTGGGTCTCAACTATGATAGGCTGAGCTGCTGTGACTTGTGATTGATATCTATCAGTAAGATATTTGTTTTACCATATTCTTTGATAAGTTTAATTTTGTGCTATGCACGTTTGATTTTCTATGTCCAGATGAGCAGAAAAGACCTTACTCATTTGAAGGTTTATGCCATTGATGTTGATGAGGCTGATGAGGTAATTATCACTATTTTTTGACTCCTCCTAGCTTATTGTAGAGGCTATTGACTTGCTTTATTGACTCGCTAACTTTTTTCCTCTACCCTCTGTCTTTTACTCATTTCCAACTTGAAAATATTTTGTAGCTTGATGATGCTCTGAGTGCAACAAGGTTGCAGGATGGCCGCATTAAAGTGTGGATACATGTTGCTGATCCAGCTAGATATGTTCAACCTGGGACCATTGTAGATAGGTAGTTTACATTCCATAACACATGCTAATACATGATTTTCCATCTTAGCCATTTATAATTTAATTGCATATAGGGAGGCCATGAGAAGGGGAACCTCTGTCTTCTTGCCCACTGCCACTTATCCTATGTTTCCAGAGAAACTTGCGATGGAGGGAATGAGTTTGAAACAAGGAGAGCTTTGCAATGCTGTTACAGTATCTGTTACTTTGCGTTCTGATGGCAGGTAGATTTTGTTGACAGGATTTGTTGTTTTCTCTCGGATTTTTATTTGTCGTATTAGAATATTAGCCTTCTGAAGAGGATATTAGGATCATGGCCATTAATTCTCTCCCAGAGACATTCTAGGTATATAGTGGATTTTTGCAATGAATCTGGAGGTGAATATAAACTTATGTTGTCTTTGAAATGATGCTATCAGATTTCTGTTTTCTGGGTCAACTGCTCATTAGATTAGATTTCTGTGATCTGTTGTTGTTAATTCTGTATCACATTCATTCATATCTTGAGGTGTACTTAAGAAATTTCCTTCCAGTTTTTCATTCTTGCAGTTGATAAACATGATCATTTCTCTTTGGTGCTATACCATATCATACTGATTGAGTGCAGCTGCTGTGCTTGTGATTTGTGAAAATGACCAACCATTGAGATAAGGGTGTTAGGAAAAGTAAGATTAATTTGCCGACTTAGGAATTTAGGTCAAATTTAGGGATTCTAGACTTTATTCATAAGAATTGAGTAGAAAACAGAAAAATAATTAGGATTTGAACCTCGAATACCTTAAGCATCACACAGGGTAGTTCTTAAAATATCTCACTTAAGAAGGAATTTTATCACTATCGTTATGCAAAGGAGCATTGTTTGCAGGCCTATGGACTACTTACTTGGAAAGAAATTATTGGATTCTGATAATTCATCTTTTCCGATTGATATGTTGGGAGAGAAATGTCTTTTTTGGCTTCCTTATGGGCCTTGACACATGGAAAATTTTTGAAATTTCTCTTATGACTGAAATATTTCTTTAGTCCTTAATTGTTTTGGTCCTTGTACTTTTTTTTTTGTTTGATTTGGTCCCCGCTCAATTTTGCGTCAAAGTACTCCATGTACTTTCAGAAAATGTATGAATTAGTCCATCTCCTTTAGTTATCATTAACATTTTTAACACTTGATGTGACGTGTTATCAATTTTGGAATATAGCATCTTTTGGTTGGCCGCTTCTCTACGTTAGATACCATGTAAAAAAACTATGGATCGGTTTGAACTGTTGAGGCGATTTGGTTTTTTATTTTTATTTTTATTTTGGATCCATTCAGACTTATCAATAGTTAAATTTTTTCTCTACGTTAAATGTCACATAGTGTCTGAAATTGCATCTAATCGCAAAGAAGTGACCAACTAAAAGATGTTATGTATTAAGACCGATGACACATAACTTCATGTGCTAAGGTATTAATGGCTACAGATAGAGAGAGATTATTTAGAACATTTTTCAAAAGAATAAAACTAATTTAACGCAAAATCGAAGTAGAGATTAAATGGAACAAAAGAAAATAGTACAAGAAGAAAATAAGTATTTTAGCCTTTCTCTTACTATTATTCACAGGAATTGGGAATGACCCATGGTCCTTTTTGCCTTTGGCATTGTTTTCTATGTTACGTATTTTATATTGGATATCCCATCTGCTGTTTTTGTATAATTCCATTCTCTTTCTTAATAAAGTTACTTTTGCTATAAAAAACTGAGTTGTATCGCACACGCAAGTTATATACAAAAGTTATAATAATCTATTCACTAAAGGTTTCATGTCCAAAGTGAGACATGTATTTATAATGCTTAGAATTTAAATCCTGACATAACAATAATTACCTGGTAGAATATTAATATTTAAGGAATATAAAATACAGATAAAATTTTAAAGTTACTCAAGACCTAATCTTATCCCTACTATTATAATAAATGCTAGAACCAATCTATTTAGAAATTTTGAAGTCTAATCCATTCTTCATCATTCTTCCTTGTTCGGAGAAGAACTGAGAAATTAGTTTTAAGTGATGATAATGTAAAATCTAGAT